TTAAATCTTGGTAGGCAAGAGGATACGTAATGACAAAAGCAGTAACTCTGTCTTGCTAAGTGTGGAATGTAAGTGATGGCCTTTTGAATATGATAGTGAGTAAAAATAGCCTTGTTCAGGATAGCATATTTAATGAATGAGGCAGTGTTCTTTCAAAAAAATATTGTAGGGTCCTTAAAGATTTTATGGCAGTATAGCTGTGAAAATCCTAAGTGTACAGATTAAGCAAGGTTCATAGGAACAGATACTGTTTTTCATTAACTTGTTGGTATAGTTGATGAAAGTGGGGGGAAAAAGAATGAAGTGCTTGGGTGTAAAATTTAATATTTTGATCTTAAGTAGAAGTAGAAAAAAAACCAGATTAAGTACAGGTTGAAAACTAATGCCTTGAGCTTACACTTGGTTTTGCATTCTACACTTCATCTGTGCCAGGGCCCTGAGTGCATCTCCTGTCTAGGAGTTTAGTTTAGTGGAGTTCAAGGTCATCTCCTTCAGTGAGAGGAGCTGTTGGGAGAAAAGCTAGAAAGGAAGGCCTGGCCCTCCCTTCCTTTGGGCACTGCTTTTAATCTGATGCTTTACGACCTATGCTGTGTCACAGCTGTGTAAGCAGGTATGTCTGTGCCTGTCTCATACCTTCTTGATCCTGATCTGGACCTGGACCTGGTGGCTGGGCTTCCTGGCTTAATCTTGGACCTGCCTTGTCACTACAGACTTGCTGTGTGATCCCTGGACTGCATCTGGTCCTGATCACTGTATCTGGATCCAGTCCTGACCTGGACGTGCCACTGAGCATTCCCAGTCTTCGTGACTTACTGCTCTCACCTGCCTTGTTTTCACACTGATTTCCCAGCTTACCTTCCATTGCAGAACCAGTGGGCCCTTGTGGCTTTCCGACAACATGAACCTAAAAGGCAAATTTATTAAACAGTTGTAACTTGTATGGCAAGACTACACATTAACTCGTTTTTCTAGCCCTTTAACAAGATTTTTGTGAATAGTAAGTAGTGGGAGAGGTCGCTTATACAGGTATGTACAGTCTTCATGCTTGGAAGTTTTCAGAGCTTGGCTGTATAAAGTCCTGTGTTATTTACGTGGAGCTGGGTAAAACCAATTCATTTTTTAGTCTTGTTTTAGTAGTTAGGATCTTTGCTTTATTGCTTTGTGTAAATCTATGAAGAAAAGCAAGATTCAAAATACTCCAGTATTGTCAAACAGATATGAAATTAATACATTTAGTCAGAGTGCTACTTATTTGTCAGGATATTATTGTAAGCTTGAGAACCTCTTGAACTTTTCAACAAGCTTGAATGATTGATGTTTTCTCCTAAGCTCCGAGTTGTCCAGATTTCATAACTCATTAGTCACTTCTCAGAAGTATACTATATCTTTATCATTGCTACTTACCCTTCAAATGCAGTGAGAATAGAAATAAATATAATTATTGTTTCTCTTAACTATAGCAGCTCCTAAAAATTTATGTTGCTGTAAATATTTCTTAAAATATTTTAGTTACTTTGGATGAAAGCTCTTAAATGAACAAAAATCCCATGTATTTATTTATTAGTCTTGTGGGGTTTTGTTTCCATCCTTAGGAGAAAGAAAATACAGTCTCAAAACCTTTAAGATTTCTTTATACTTTCTGGTATTTTTTATTACTGAAGGAGAACAGAATAGGTTTGTACATTTTCAGAATCATTTCTGTCCAATTCATCTTGTCTTTAGGGAGAGAGATGGACCGAGTGACATTTTAAAGTGGCTTATAGCTTTCTCTTGTTTTGATTTCAAAGCATTGTAGAATAATTTACATTGGAGAGGACCTCAGAAGGTGCACGGTTTGACCTTATTCTCAGAGCAGCATCAGCTGTGAGGTCAGACCAGGTTGCTCAGGGTCTTGAAATCTCCAAGGATGGAAACAGCAGAATCTTTCTGGCCAACCTTTTCCAATAACTTCATTTTTTCACCTTAAATTATTTGCTTCAAATAATTAAAATAAATTCCTCATTCTATGCTTGTTTATAGAATTCCAGTTACTAGAAAGGCACACAATTATGCCAAGGGCTCAGTGGAAGTGCAGTAACAGTCTGCTGTGTTAGATCAGTTGTTAAACAAACCAGAATCATGTCAGTTTTGTCTTGCAGCTCTATACTTCTCAGTTCAGTGAGAGTCATTGAGATACTCCAGGTAATAGCTCATATTCAGTGAGTGATGTAGTATCTGAAAAGTTTTCAGACAAATCACTGCAGCTTTAAAGAGGTTTTTAGATTGTTTTCATGACTGTCTATGGAGGGATTCCCCTCTGTTACTGTAGCAAATATGCTAGGTAGTTTCTCTAGCCAGTTTTCTTATATTTGTGCTTCATTGATCTAGATCATGACGGATTATCATGGAATACTTTATGCAATAGTGCATTGTCTCCTGTCACTTTCTGCCCTTACCATGATAAACTATTGCACTGTTTGAAATACTTGAGTGATACTTTAAAATAAAAGCAGACACTCTGAATTGTCAGTTATTTATATATTGTGTGGAGTGTTATAAGCTTTGAAAATTCAGTTCAAATAAATGAATTAGTCTTAGAGAAAGATACCTAATGTGAAAAAAAAAATGCTTCTTACTGCTCAGCAGGGCTCTTCCAATAGTAGCAGTGGAGCCATCCGTGAGAGTCGAGTGTTTGGACACTTAACATTCAGTGTGATCAGAATTGTAAGTTTGTGGATCTAAGCGTGTGCATCCTTGCTGTCCTTGTTCTACAGCTACACCTCTTTAAACAAAGTCAAAGATGGGTGGTGTGAGCTGTGTGTGGAAAGGAACCATAGGGAGTTGGGAGGAACGTGGAAAGCATTGTTCCTTCCTCCTGGTTCCTTCCTCTGCCCTTACTACGTTCCAGAGGAGAGTACACCTTTTTTCCCTGTTGTGCAGGACCAGTGACATGCACTACCAGGTGCTGCATTTATTCTTGCTGCTTCTCACATGCAGTGGAATGGGGAGTTGCCCCAAGGTGCCAAGGATTAACCATGTTTAGGTGCAGGTGGAGCAAACAGTGTGAAGAGACCTTTCAGCTCTTCATGAGATGAGCAGGACTGCCTGATATCTCAGCTTTTCTACTCTGCACGCATCATACAGAGGAGAAGGAGGGAAGACAAAATAAGTAGATGTGCTGGGGAAAAGACTTGTTGCTGTGGACAGGGACTGGGGGAAAAGAAAGGAGGTTCTCTGTCAAACTTCTGCTTGTTGAGGAGCAGCACCCTGCCCTGCTCTGAGTGCTGCACTTGACCTTTCTGCTATTCTTATGACCTCAGTCTATACCCCTTAAAGACAAGAAGGAGCTTTGTTTTACAGCTTGCTTTTCCAGTCTCATCTCACAGGTTGTAGGGCACAGATACGCTTTTTCTTTAGCTGCTCATCATTAGTTATCCTTTGTGCTGCTCCTGTCATTGCTGAACATTATGCTAAATGCATAACAATAATTTATTACACTGGTGCAGCGTAACAATAATTTACTACAGTGGTGCATGATGAAGGTCAAAATGAAGAAGGCTGACAGTCATAAGTCAGGATTTTTCTGCTGTATGATGTCTTGGTAAAACTCGTACCTTACTGCCTTCTTACAGCTTCAGGCTCCCCTTGCATTCTGGGGATATATTCTTGGTGGGATTCACGGGGCCAGTGACTACTGGTAATGAGGTCTGAATGGTTCTGTCAACATGGATGGCTTTTTTTCCTCCTTAGATTTTAGAGCTGTTTCAGGAACAGGGCTTTTGCTGTCCCTGGTGCCTAGTTACTTATGTATGTGAAAAAGCTCCCTATTTTTCATGCTTCCATGTGTGCTCTCGATTTTGTGGGCAACCCAGACATATGTATTTGATGATGGCACTTCTTCGCTAGGGTAATTTGCAGTTCAAGAAGACTGCAGTCACTAAGGTGGAAGGAGATCAGGTTGGAGGGGAAGGCATGCTCTGCTGGGACTGAGTCTGAGGCTGTTGGTGGTGACAGCCCTTACATTTGGGTTGTTCTTGGATTCTGTAGGGGGGAAAGGAGAGTTTGATGGCTGTTAGAATACCAGTGCTGTAGAAACTGGTACAGTAAGAATATCTGAGAGCTTTTGCACTAGTCTGAGGAAAGCTAACTGTGACCTGTTAAGCTGAGAAATATTCAGCCTTAGTCACAGGGTGTGTTTGCTGCTTTAGGTATTTGAGTAAAGTTAAATACTTGGGCATTTTCAGTGGAAAGTACTTCCTTCAATTTTGTATTATCCCTTGTTATTTAGTGCTCTTAGTCACTGAAAAAGAAAACTAGGTAAAACATACAAGTGTTGGACAGCTCTGAATACTTTCATTGCTATATCTCCCTTGTGTTTTTCTCTTTCTAGGTTTTAAATGCCTTTTATTGATGATTCAGGCTATCTAGGCTGACTTTTGGACTATTTCAATGCCACCTATTGTGGTACAGAGACTTGGGAAGCAGAAACCTCTCTGAATTTGCCTGTCTTCATCTGGTTACGTGCAGCAACTTGTGTCATGGGGCAGGCAGGTGTAGTGTTCCACTACAGTTCTAAATTAGAGTCCTGTTGTCTGTAAGGGCAAGAAATATTTATTTCCTGATGTAATTTTAGGCAATGGGCCTAAAATCTTGGATTTGAACCATGTGTGAATGAAAACTGCATTTTTTTTCATTACTGTGACTGAAATCAGGAAGTTTAAAGCTGCTTGCTTTAAACTCTTTTCTTGATGTAATTTATAAAACAGCAGGCATGTTAATTTGCAGACAAACTAAGGCAAGCAAAAGATCATGCTGTTTCTGCCTCCATTAGTCTGTAAATCCTAAATAGAAACTCTTGTTTGGTAAGCTGCTTTATTGAAATTCTGATGTAAAGAATATGGCTGTACTGTAAAGTGGTTTAAAGAGCAAATCTTTAACTAGTGCAATAATTAATATTCTAATGTATTCTGAGTATTTCTTTGGAGATATTTGAATCTTTACTTTTTTATTCCTATTTTCAGGGAAATTCAAATGGCATTGCTACTGTGGATGTTTCGGCAGGTTTTGTGGGACTAGAAAGCTATGTGGAGATACCAGCTATCTTCCTTACAGCATTTGCAACATATGCAGGACCTTTGCTTTGGGCCATTCATCTGCTGTGCTACTTGAGTTCTGAAGTTAGCAGGTAATCATGCTTTGCATTAAAGCGATGCTCCTCTACATACTGCGATTATAAATACCATCCATATAGTGTATACCTTTTCAAACAGTTTTGTTCACATAATTTTTTTCCTTGGAAGTTTGTTTTCTATTAAGAAAATGCATGCTCTTTTTGGTATGAGTTTGTGTCACCTCACTCTTGCAGTTTCATTTTCTCTGCAGAAGTTTCGCACTGGGAAAATATGTGTATGTTTTACTAATTTTGTTTCTTAATGAGTTCTCAGTTTGCTGTGCTAAATTACTTAAAATTTTATTACATTTCATTGTAACAGCATGTGCTACCTAAAAACATTCTTCTTGGAACCTGTTGGGTAGGAGAACTGAGAAGGAATTTTAAAGTAATAGAATAGCATTCAAACTTAACTAACGTGCTGTTCTTTGAATGTCTGTCCTTGTTTGGCATAGTGACATACAACGTTTTATAAATAAACCAGATTTATTTTATTGTATGTTACTGGTTATTGCAGTCATTTGTAGCTAAAATATTTGTACTTTGGGGTATCTTGTGTAGTGGATGGGTTAGTGTAAAATGGATTAGTGCATTTGGAATTTTAAGAAGACATAGTTGGAAAATGCTTGCGTAACTTAGAGTGTACATGTAAAATCCAATTGGACTCTCTAATATTGCATTTAACTCATCATCCAGGGCATTCAAACTGAGAGATGCAGTATGTTAAAATAGAGAGAGGAGCTGTGTTGTATAATATCAATGCATAAATGCAAAAACTTGATACATTTTCACAGAAGTTACATTTGACAGTGACTAAATTCATACCATCCCAGAGTCTTTTCTCTGTTATCTGTGGAATTTAAATGTAGGGTTTTTTTTTTCCCTTTTTTAAATGGGGAACAAAATGTTGCAGCAGGCTTGGCAAGTGGGATTTTAGACAGTATTTAATTTATTACAACTCTTTGCCTTGTGCATTGTCATCTTCTGTAAACCTCTGACTTTGCTTTATCTACAGAGTGTCATCTGGTCTCATCGTGTCAGTGCTTTTTGTTTTCTGGCTTCTCTCTTCTCCTTTTCACTTTTTTGTTTTGGGCTGTATCTACACTGTGAACTTGTGTTGGCACATGTGTATTCATCAAAGGCGTAAGGAGATGAGATCCCCAGCTGACCAAGCTGCATAGATTAGTGGAGGTTTTGGAAGCAGGAAGGACCTGTTCTAACAGGCTAAATTCCTGGACAGTCATTGTGTCCATTGCTCTGTATTAACAGGCACCTTTAAAAGGTAGATTTATTATTCACCTTATTCACCGACTTGCCTGTCTGCCATATTGCTGTCGAAAGATGTCTAGTGCACTCTGCTTTATTGCAGTGGAATTGTGCAGCCCAGTGCTGGGCCATTGTATTGCCCTAGTAATGCACATTGAGACTCACTGTAGAACATTACATCTTAGTCTGAAGCCAGCTACCTTGAAGTCATCTTTGGTCTTATGTAGATTGATACTGTGTAAGTACTGGTCTTTATGTATAATGCCTCTGAAGACCGGCCTTTTCTCTGTTCATTCTGATGTTTTTTTGCTTCAGGAGGAGTAGATGTGGAATACACTAATTATTGATGTCTAGATTTGTATAACCACAGAAATCCCTTTCTTGAATTTTCCTTACTACCTGGTGACTTGACACCAAACTCAGTTTTAGCTCTCTGTTTCTAATGCTTTTCAGTTTAGCTTTAGTTGCTGCTTTGCTCCATCAATACATCTTCCCAGTACCCAAGCTCTTCAAGTTTTCTCCATTGTTTTAACTCTCTTTAAAAAGAGTTATCATGTGCATATAAAAAGCCTGCCTCTTGTGTTCTAGTAAATATGTGACCCATGACCCTGGGATATTACATTCTATTAATCTACTGTTTTTCCCAAGTCTTTTATACCTCTGCCATGCTTTGTTTAAAATAGTGCTAGACAGTTTCACTGGTCACATCCATGTTCCTGTGTTGTTTTTTTTTTTAGCAGTCCTACTTTCCATTCTTCATTATTACACTGTAGGTGCTTTGGAACTGGAGCTTTTGGCTTGTGCTTGAAGGATTCCAAGCATAGTGTAGTAAACCACCTCAGTGCCATTGTCTGGGAACAGAGAGGGAAAGAATAAAAGCTCCTGTAATGTTTTTAAAGAGCTGAAGTTTTAAAGTTGTTTAAACCCTAGACTGCAGACTGTGATGAACACTAACATACAATGAAGAGAAAATGACACCATACAGCATGCTTTTTGAAAGCTCTTCTAACAAAATAATAAAAAACTTTCTGTAGCAAAATCTTTGAGGATCTGTACTTGTTTAGTATTGTTTCAAATAATATGCCTCTGTAGTAGTATTGGTTGTTGTTCTGATGTTTTCTTGATTGAATTTTTGCAGATTAAAAGCTCAGCTAGTAGTGTTGCCAGGTACAGTGCTGGTTTAAACTGCTCTCAAGTGGGTATCTGTGACCTGTAATACCCACATCACTTATGTAAGTAGATTCCATCAAGCAGCTTGTGTCTGTAGCCATTTTAAAGTTCATTTGGGTCAACTGGTAAGGTTGTTTCCTCTACGAAACAGTGCATAACTCTGGACTGGAATCTCTGTAGGCACTGAGACTTGTTCAGATTGGTATGTTATGGTGCTCGAAACTTGGTCCGTATGCTTATTACTTTACTTTTGTGTTTTGCTGTTGTTGACCAAATGATTGTCTCATTACTTTGTCATTATTTCTTGAAGCCAAACCTGAAACTGCGGAAGGCAGAGGTTCAGCTGCTTCATGTGTTTGCTTAAATGTATGGGAGACTGAGCTTTTTTAAAAACTGCTGGATGCTTTATAATGTTCTTTATAAAGGCTTCTTATTAACTGTTTTAGAAGCAATATGGCTTGGTCAGTGAAATTCAAACCCTTTCCTTTTTTATATAGTCTTGACTGCAAGACAAAGATCCTTTCCCCACTTCCTTCAGACAGGAAGGTCTAAAATAATCCAGCTGCCCTGTTTTTTTGGAGTATGCTGACTGGGTCCCGTTAGATTGCCATAGGATGTTGTCAAGATTCCTGACCCATCCTGGTACAGTCTTAGTTGAATGGATGTGCCCAGAACTACTGAGCAGTAGCATTCTTAGGAAATTCCCTAGCACCCTGCAGCCTGTTTTAGAGATGTTGCATCTGAGGAGGTTGACTTGGACAAGGAAGCTTGACTTCAGTGCCAACTATCTTTGTCTATTCCAGCCACTTAGCAGAGCCCATGTAATTTATAGCTGCATCAGTTGTGTTGACTTACCAGAGCTTCTTGGTGGAATTCTTGGAAGCTGAGCTCCACTGGCGCATAAATTCCTAGGGACAAGTACACATGCATAGCCTTCCCTCTCTGCACTGTGCACTTATGAAATCACAGAATACTTGAGTCTGGAGTCCAACCCTCCTGTTCAAAGGAGGGTCAACCAGAGCAGGTTCCTCAGGGCCATGTCTAGTTTGTTTTTGAGTCTCTTCAAGAATGGAGATGCCAGGGTCTCCTTGGGCAACCTGTTGCAGGTTCTACTCAAGGCTAAACAAACCTAGCTTTCTCAGCTTCTCATTTTTTATCCGATTCTCCAATCCCTTCATTGTCTTTGTGACCTTTCAGTGGACTCATTCCAGTACACCCATGTCTGTCTTGTACTGGGGAGCCCAGAAGTGGACTGAGGAGCCCAGATGTGATCTCGCCACTGCTCAGCAGAGAGGAAAGATCACCTTCCTCAACCTGCTGCCTCTAGTTTTCCCACTACAGCCCTGGGTTGGCTCAAGGAAATGTTGCTTGCTCATGTTCCAACTTGTCCACCAGGAACAACCTATGTCCTTCTCTGCCAAGCTGTTTTCCAGATGGTCAGCCCTAAGCGTGTCCTGGTGCATGGGTTTATTCTTCTCCAGGTGCAGGACTTGGCATCTCCCTTTGTTAAACTTCATGAGTTTCTTGTCAGTCCATTTCTCTAGCCTGTTGAAGTGCCTCTGAGTGGCAGCAGACCCATGTACTGTATCAACCACTCCTCCCAGTTCTGTATTGTGTGCAGACTTGCCGAGGGCATCATTAATTAAAATGTTAAACAGTATTGTTTGGCCCCAGTGTCAGGCCCTGGGGTTGATCCCTAGTGACTGGCCTCCGGGTGGACTTTGTGCTGCTGATCACAATCGTGTAAGCCTGGCAGCTGAGCCAGTTTTCAGTCCACCTCACTGTCCACTTTCCTAGCCTAGACTGCATCAGTTGGCCTGTGAGGATGTTATGTGAGATGGTGTTAAAGGGTTCCTTGTGAGCTAAAAGTGTGTTAGATACATGTAGCCCATGTATCTTTGGTCAATATTGTAAAATAGAATAGAAGATAAAGAGGTTTTGAAATGATATGCTGTGGAAATGTATTTGGAACTCCTTAAACAATTTGCTTCCATCTGATCAAACACGTGGAACTATAAAATATTTAAAATATTCTCCTCACATGGAAAGGTAAATATGTTTCTAAAATAATTAAGTGGCATGTGATAGACGGTAACATGGATATTACTGCCATGTTTAGTCCTTCAGGCTCTCCTGAGAAACTTGGCAGCTTAAATGTGATGGGATTTTCACAGACAGAAATAGAAAGAAGAATTCTTCAGCTTCAGTCTCCATGGAAACTGTGCAATAACTCTTGAAACTATTTTTGAGACAGGGAGTACTGATGAAACTGATGCCTGAACTTAACCAAGTATTCTGTGTGTGACTTGCATAAATTCCAGAGAGCACATGATTCATGTAAAGGGTAGTTTTGACAGTGACCACTGTATTGCTCTGATCTGAAGTAGAACTTTGGATTTTGAGATCCTTATGATGAGGAAAAGGGCCATGTTGTTGGATAATCTGACATATATTAAAAGACATCACTGTGCAGTACACCCCAGATGGATTCAATTTTCAAGCTCCTACTCAAACAAAATTGTCATGTGTGTGATGTTCAGTGTTGTGTAATTACCACTCTTTAGCTAAGCATTGTGATA